CAATGAAACAGAACGAGGCAGAGAGAGAATGAGATGGAAAGAAAGCGACAGAGAGAGAGACAGCCAGAGAGACAGAGAGTGAGAGTAAAAGTAGAAGACAAAGACAGAGAGGGAAAGACACAGACAGAAAGAGAGAGAGGAAGACAAAAATGGAGATAGAGAAGTATAGAAAGAAAGAGACAGGCAGAAAGAGAGAGTGAGATACAGAGAGAGAGAGAGACAGGAATGCTCTCTGAAGTTTTGAAAAATTTTGGAGAGTGGAAAATAAACTACTTGAAAAATGTGTAAATCCTCCCAATTCTCTGAAATTATAATTAATTGAAAAAAAGCAAAAAAAACAGTTTACTAGAATATCCCTTCCTAGTACATACCTGGCTGCGCCACTGTAGCAAACGCTCTTCGCTATCTCTTTGAAGTTTTACTATAGTTTGGAATTAAATTCACAATTTTTTATACAATTTCGATTTAACTTACATAGTACATCTAATTTCAAATCAATAATGCAAATTATGATTTTATAAATGAATAAAAAGTCTTTAATTTAATAAATCTTTAAGTTATTAAGATTTATTGAAAGTTATATATGATGTTAAATCATTTTAAAAATATAATAATTTTATTAAATATTTTTCTTTCAGAATTATGTGACGCTGCTCTTAAAATTCAATCAACTTTCCGTGGGCATTTGGCTCGGAAACTTGTCAATAAGGATGAACCAGAAGATGTTGACATACAGGAAATAACTAAAAAAGTTGCTGAGGAATTAGATATTGATCTCACTGATCCAGAGCTTAATAAAGCAGCTACTAAGATACAAGCATCATTCCGGGGCCATAAAACCCGTAAAGAAGTACCAACTTCGGCTGAATAAAAATTGTAAGCCATCCCAATGGATTTCCCGAAAATGTATATTTTTGTGGAAATATATTTGAAAGAAATTCAATTTAACGTGTGCGCATAAAACAAACACACAAACAAAGCAAACATTAAGTATAAATTGTTAAAAACACATAGAAAGAAAAACTATTTTAAAATAAATGAAAACATTGCAAAACATAATTTAAACTTATTAAAAGAAAAGAAGAAAATAATAATAACAGACAAAATCAGTCCAAATTTAGTTTGTTTAATTACAAAAAAATAGGTATGTTCACTCGATGGTGCAATTGTGATAAATGTTTGTAGAATGTGAAAATCTCATAAAAGAGTTCTAGATTTTCTACTGCAATTGGAATAAATTCTTTTTTATGTAAAATTACACATTTGTCACAGCCTACGTCTATATCACATTTGTGCAAAATATTGAATTATGAGTAAAATATATAAGCAAAAAACTTCAACTATGTTATTAAATTCTCAAATAGAGCTAAGAGTTTTAAATCCACATTTTGCAATGGAGTGTTCTCGCTTTTTTGAAAGAGTTCCACACATATTGAACATAATTCCATCAAAGAATGGCCTAACCCTTACAATTTTTTAAATTTTGAACAATTTTTGCATAAAAAATACAAACTGTTGTATGAATATAATAAAGAAAATATATAAAATAATATATGATAAAAATTTATTGTTTTAGCTTTAATAAAATTAAGTAAATTGCATATGAATGAGATAAACTTCAAGAAAAACATTTACAACAAAATTATATGATGATTTTGATAAATTTTAAGCTTCTTTATAATGGGTACTGTATTTATTATGTCAATTTATATTTAACTAAACAATTAAAATTGCCAAAATATATACAAAATTAAATTAATTTTCATTTCATTTATTACTCAAAATTTTTAAAAAAAAATTTCAAAATTTTTTTTACTCAAAAATTTTAAGTGACATACCTACAAAAGAATTACTAATAAATTGGCTATTAGTGAGTATTGAACTTATGCACTTAAATTAATAATAATTGATTTAATTAAAAACATTAATTTTTCTTAAAACTCCGAAGTTTATATATGTTTTAATTTATAAAATACTTATTGAATAAATTTTATATGTATACTATTGCAGTGACTGCAAAACTGTATGGTTCTTTCATTTCTGAATAAATTAATAAAATATATTTAGCACGGACCTCAACCATTTAAATTTAACTATAAAAATATAAAGAACATTTTGTGATTAGCGCTAAGTTAGCTAAATCTAAACTGAAGAGCACTCTGTACCATAAAAACTCGACTTAATAACTGATATTGGAATTGTTTTTGTAGGCTGTAGTCTTTGACTATAGCATAACGCAGCAGAGGTTTTCATTAGCCAAATAATTAATATATGGCAGTTTTTTTTATTAATTTAGTATTTCTCTTGGAATTACAAAATTTCTAACAAAAATCAAATTTTTACTACAAATAAACTAAGAACTTACTTAAAATTTATAATATTAAATTTTAACTTTTCAATATTAAGTTCATTTTAATTAGGATTAATTTTAAAAAAGTAATACTATTATACCTAAAATGAAAAGCAATCTAATTAAATAAATAAATTATTTAATAGAAAATTTATAAACAAAAAAAAAATAAATTTGCAAAATATGTTAAAGTGGCACATCAATTTATGTATTGAATCAAATCTGAATTATATTGTAAACTTAAAGTAAAATATATACAATATTAATAAAATATTTATTTATGCTAAACCATTAAATCCTATTAAACTAATTTTTAATAAACAAATAAATTTTTAAAATATTTTTGGCATAAAATGATTCTTTCGAAATTTTTTAAATTTATATTCATATAAAATTTATTTGAAATTAATTAATAATTAATAATTTTGTATGGATTTATTTTTAATAAATAATAAATTTAATTTTTATTTCTGGCATAAGAGCATTTTTGTTTGTTTTTATAAATTTAAATATATTTTTTTTGAAACTAAAAATAATATATATAAATTTATTTTTAATAAAGAAATGTTATATATGTAATAAATATTATATAATAATAATATTTATATATAACAAAGATATATTAATATTATTTTTAATATGAAAATTTTTTTGGAATTCCTTAAATTCATATTCATATGTATTTTAATTGTGGCTAATAATTTTATATGGAATAAGTTATGTTATTTTATGTTAATTTAAGTTATGTTATTATGTTAAGTTATTTTATCTCTCCCCAATTTAGGAATACCTTCAGAATAAGTTATATAGTTTAATTTATATAATTTCTGTTAAAATTTAAATAAATACATACAATTTATTTATTAATATTATTTATATTATATTATATTATATTATATATATTATAAATTATTTACAATGGGATTTAAAATTATTATCTACCATTATCATATAGCGTGTTAAAATATTTCAATTGCTACTTGTAATATATTAAATTATAATAAAAAACATTTTTTTTAATTGAATTTGTGTATTGTTTAAAATATTATGTTTTATTTTCCTTTAATATTATAAAAAAATTTTTATATATGCTCTAATTAATTTAGCTATTAATTTAAAATTTTTAATAAGGCAAAATTATGAAGAAATAATTAAAAATAAAAAAAATATTTAATTAAAAATATTGAAAATGTCTTAAAAAATATTAATTACAATATAATTCAAATACAAAATTAAACTAATAAAATTTCCCCAAACAACATTTAGTGAAAAATAAACTATGAATATAAAAATGAAATGTTTTTCTTTATAAATACTCAATATAAAAAGTTTTGAATAATGGTAAGTATTAATATTATTTACTGACTGTACTCTTCTATCTTCATTTAAAAATTTATAAAAATTTGGCACTGAAATTTCGAGTTTTACAAAATATCAATTGTAGCTTCATTACTATTTGATATCAATTTTTTGACAGTAGATCCGTTGCACAGTTTAGTTAGGATAATGTTAAAGTGAGGTTGGTTTTAACACGGATAGATTAATATTGCATAAAAGCATATTTAGGGCTTCAATTATAAGAGACAGTTTGTACTATGACACCCCAGAAATATCTAACAAATTTATGAAGCTATACAATTAGCTTATAACTTCAGCCGTATGTCGTAAGTAACAAACTCGCCTTCGATTTGACATCACTTATTTGGTATCCCTCAAATTAAAATCTAATACCTACATTCTATATCATTTGACGAATTTGTTAAATAATTTGGATTTATCAACTTAAAAAATAAATCCGATTTCAACATTTTTTTGTATGATAGCAACCCTAAATAAAAATTTTATAGCCTAGTTCTGCTCTTTTGTATAGAGATTTACATACTTAATTGACCATTACAGAAGCGAGTCGTACTTAGTTGTGTCCAAAACGTTCCGTCAGACAGATCAGTGGCTTGCTGTCGTCAGTTGGTGGTACGACCGCCTTCATATCGTTTGACACCTGTAAAGGACATTACAAAGAAGATACGAATGCTCTCTAACGAGTTTTCCACCAGCGGGTAACGAAGCAAACACTTTTCTAGTCAGTTCATTTCACACGAAATGACCAAGCCATCGGAACCGCTAAATTATTACACACTTAACTATAGCAATGTCACGGTATAGCTCATACAGCTCACCATTCCATATAATTCGATACTCGCTGCTTCTAACGCCTTCGCATCACTGTTGGTAATTGTCCAAGCTTCTGCACCAATAAACTGGACAAGCATGATAAGAGACTTGTTGACAGCGATTTTTGATTGTCGAGAGAGAGCGCGAAGTAACATCTGTTGGTAAAAGTGTTTCCTCGTTAAATCTTATAGAGAGATTATTTAGTATAAATATAATGCAGATCTACTCAACGGTTTAGGAGTTCTTTTGGTATAAATAACATAACTAAATTTATATATACAGTCGAAATCGGTTATAACCACATTGGAGGCACCAACCTTATTTGAAGTTTATGAGTTGTAATATAAATTAAACGATTAAAAATTTCAGTAATATTCATTAAAGCATATATATTATATAAATCAATTATATTCATCCGTTTTTAAATTATATTTCATTTATTTATTTAGAAAAATATATATGTTGATATAAGTTATATATTCTTATTTACATATTATTTCCATTCTGGGAAAAATAATTTATAATTTTTGTTAAGTAGTCACATTTTAAACGCGTATACTCCGAGTCCTTGCAGTCGACCAGGATTTGCATAGCTATATACATAACTATTAAAATTAATAATCCATAATTCATCTAGAGAAAAATTTTTTTTTGGTGATCATTGGTGTATTGACTACCAATCCATCAAGCACATCCACTTCAGATTCAGTTCCATTATAATGAACAAATTATTATCTTGGCTCAATATTAGTACCAGCTTTTTTATCTTCGTCTGATTACGAATCAGACTTCACTTCTTAGTTGTTTTGGTAGCTCAGAGTAACCTAAAAAGTAAGTATACATAAAAGGATCAGAAAACGTACACAATGAAATAGGCTGGGAAAAGTAAGGAGGTATGAAGTCGGTAGAGATATGTTATATAGCACGTTCTTTTAAATAGTTTTTTCCTTAAGCAGTATTTCCGTTAAAAATAACATACTTTGTATAAAAAATAAAAACTGTAGATAAGGAACATTAAGCGGTTAAGAAAGATTTCCATTTATAAACTTTCACTGTATTACAAGAAAAAAAATTATTCTGTCTTCAATTGTTAAGCATTACTAAGAATTGAGTTTGATAATTCGATTTGAATTTGACAATATTGTTCGAAGAAAATTATAATCCAATCAACATTTTCAAAGAGAAGCATTTAGCGCATAATTAATAATAATAAAATACAGTTTCTTCTATAAAATGAATTAATAATGATTCTTAAATCGTTTAAGAATGAATACTGTTCCTAACGCAATTTTCACCAAGTCAAAAGTTTTTCGATGTATTAATTTTGTATATATATGACGGTAATTGAGTAATATTGAATATCCAAACTATATGGATAGCGCCTACCTCAAACTCAATCACAGGAAGAAGTAATACTTCTTTATATAGGATGGAGTTCTTAATAAGTAGGGTATGGTCAAGCGTAATATAAAAGGCACTAACTATCTTTTAGCCTATACCCTATTAAGACCATCGCGTGTCAGGCTATATTACACTTTTCATGAGGTAGCCTGTTTTTAATGTCGATTCTTAATTTGAATAGAACACCATGGAACTAGAGAGCAAAACTTAAAAAAAAACAGTAATATTCAATGTTATTCGACCCGTGCCGTTAAGATGAATGATATTACGTTAGTGTATTTCCAAACGCAGGCCTCGAGACAAATAGCGTCCTGCTGGTTCTTGTAATAAAGCCTGGTCCGGAAGTCGATCCGGTTCGACTCTGCTTTCTACGCAATTCGTGAGTTTAAAAGCGTAATAAACAACGAATAATAACAAAACAAAGTAAAAGGTTCGGTAAAACTGGGCTGTTATTTTGGACACTAATCACGTATCGTATATATAACTAGTTTTATCTACATGTGTCATGGTTACGATATGACATGGATTGCCAAGTATTAAACATATTAGCGGTATACATGATCTCGATAATCGAGTAATACAGTAAAATACCAAGAGCAAATTCAATTCACATGTACTCGTTATGTATTTTGTACTCGTTGTAACTTAGCGTTGTTATTGTTTTTCCAGTTATAAACATAAATATATATTAGACAGAGTAAATTTGAAACAAATTAAAATAATCTTGTTTAATTATAATTCTAAGTTTCTGCTCTATGATACACATTTTATATTAAAACTAAGTGTGTATAATAGTATAATGAAATAAATATTTTGAATTACCTGTTACTTCCAATACATTTCATTTCGTATCCCATTGTTTATATTTTAAAATTTTATTAATGAATTCGATAGTGTAATACTATAGCATATTATCGCTAAAAGACCAGGCAATACACCAACGTGTTGTGTTGCCTTGATGAAATTCGGTTGTTGCGATATGCTTTATATCAATTTTCTTTAATATTTCCTGTACTTGGCTAACACTACTTTTATGGCCAAGCATCGAACTAAATATCCTAAAAAATTTCAAATTACGTGATTAAATTATTAATTAATAACATTTTACACTTACATTATACGTTCTGAATACAGCAAACTTTCTTCTACGATACGTTCAACAAATTTTACCTCACCACCAGGACAAGCTAATTCTTCCATATTGCCTGTCGTGCAATTACGTGGAGGTGGACGTTTTTTACTCTTACGAGTTGTACCATTAAATGGATTTGATAAAGATGAATTGTAAAATGGTGGATTGCACATAGAAAAGTGGAATTTCATATCATCCGGGCATGTTTGAAAGAAATTTTTAAAAATTACATCTTTGTTGGGTTGCGCAAATAAACTAATCAATTGTTGCATATTGTTTGCTTCTATATTTTTTTTCGCATATTCCAAATTAACACTATTAGATTCCAAAGCTGTCATTTGCCAATTCTTTTTTGCACCAAGTAAAGCGTAGATGCAAGAGGAGCCGCAACCTAAAATTGCTTCCATATAGTTTTGAAAATAGACAAATTATTTTGATATTAATTACCTATATCGATACCTTTGACATCTTTAACGTTTATTTTGGTTAGTAGATCTTCCAACCACAATATGTAATTAAGACGCAATGGTACAGTGGGAATTAGGTTGCCCGGTGCAATTTCAATTTTTAAATTAAAATATTCCTTCAATAATGTTTCAGTTAACGTACGTAAAGCATTATCATTTTTATAATTAGGTATAACTTTTCCATTAAGTTCCTGAAATCATTATTACTAATTATTATGAAATATATACAATATATTGTTATAATTTAAACAAACCAATTTGCAAATCATACGAAAATCTTTATGTTTTATGGCTAAAGCAATATAATCAGGTTGTGTACGAAATACGTTTCGTGGGTGCATTTTATTTTTACTTTTAAACATAGTTATTTTGTAAACAAATCTTTTAACAAATAACAAAAAACCAAAATATGTAGAATAACAAAACAAAATCACATTAAACTAATAAAGTGGTATTGCGAAAAACCGTCAGTTTTGATAGCTGCCAATGAACATAGCTCGCAGACAAAAAGCCAATTCAAACTAGATGTAGCATTTATAACTATTCAACCTGTGTTCATATGCTTATGTCAATGCGCTTAAAATCAAGCATACGTTTAGTTAGAGGTATATGTGGAACACGTGTAACATATTTTTACAGAAAGTTTATTTTAATTAGATAATAACAACATTAAGTTTTGCCGATAAACGAGTAGCCGCGACTATGACATTTCATTCCCAGGCAGATCTCTAATAGAAACTATTAAATTGCAACAAATAAATATGTGTGTTTATGATTCGCTTACTGCGTTACAAACAGATAACAAAACAAACATATAATTTTTGTATAATGTGTGTAGGGAGTATGGACAATAATAAATAATAAAATGTTTATGTAGAAATTTGCTAAAGGTTGGCTCTTAATCTTTATAGATACTATTCAATGGGAATGATTACGATTACTGGAGCTGTAAAATTTGACAAGAGATTTTGTTCAAATCAATAATAGTAATTAGGTGGAACTTTTTCTTCTCTGCTATATATCGATACAACTTGATTTTCGGACTGAACAGCAGCAAATTTTTACTTGAAAAACAATAAACGTTCACATTATCTTACGACATGTATACAATATATACTACATGACGAATCTTACAGGCTCCTCGGGGAGGTATGCAGATTTGAGGTCAATTATTGCTTAGTCTGATGAAGTAAAGTAAAGAGGAGTTTTGAAGAAACTTCGAGTTCATAAAGAGTTAAAGTGCTCATGTGCACTGGCTCAAATAGCTTTAACATAATAGTAATCTATTATTAGGCCGTGTGTGAGTAGATTGATAGTTATTTGACGGAAATAGTAATTTATGTCGGTATGGCAGCAAATGTTGGTTTTTAGATAAAAATTAGGTAAATTAGGTATTAGCATTGTGAAAATTTTAAAAGATGTTTAATAAATAAATTCGAAAACTTTTAACTACAAATAATAAATAAGTGCAATATATAAATATTTACATAAGTGCAGTGCAAAAAATCCCTAGGAAATTTCAATTAGCTTTACCGCAATTTGCTCGAACTCGCACACGGCCTTACTCAAAGTTACTATGAGTAGCTCGTGGAGCAGGCCTATAATATGACATATAATTTTCTTACACAAAAAGCGAACAAATTAAAGTGTATGAAATGATTCTAAATCACTTGTCATACAAATGTGCGTTGCCGCTTAAGTCTGTTGTATGCGACACTACACAAGTTTATTTATTAAATTTTAAATTGTTTGATTTATTAAAATAGAAAAAGCAGAAAAATGTCAGAACCTAGTACTACCGAAAGTGTGCTAAAGACTGCAATGACTTACATTTGTGGTGGTAAGTACAATGTGTATTCTTTGATCGGCCTAAATTCTCAAAACTTTTACTCTCGTGTTTCTTAGAATGTCATCACGAAAATGAAATGCGTCCTAGAGATCCAATTCGTTGCCGAGAATGTGGCTACCGTATTATGTACAAGAAACGCACTAAGAGATGTAAGTATTATTCAGTTATTAGTTCATAATTTTAACCTGTTAAAATGTGATTTATAAAGTAAACGAGAGCTCTTGAATTATTAAGTTTGGATTTTTAAGAGGCTTTATTGTTTTTAATCCAATGTAATACCATAAAAGTACTTCATATAATAAAATTATAGTTTCATCAGATGTTGAAAGTGTGCATTTACAAGTATGTTTACTACAATGAACTAAGCTTAAAAATTCCACATGTGTGATCCTACCCCATTCTTTAAATGATCTAGTTTATTACAGGTAAAATACTCCCAGAAATATAGTTTTAGGATCATTTCATATTTATTACTTTTCGTATTTGACACACAATCTAATAAACATATTTCTTTAGAATCTATTTATATATATGAAACTCGCTGTTTTTCGACCGTACCCACTGGGGTCGTGGGTACTTATACCACATAGCCTAAATATAGGCTATAACAATCGTACTTAGGATTATGTTATTAGAGTGTTTCGGGCACAGCATGAGTAAAATTGTTGTTGTTTTTAATGCAAATTATAAAATTGAGATTGAAAAACAATATGTCGGTTCCAATTTCGGCGGGCTATTTTTGCATCAGCAGTTAAGAGAAACAGTATTGTTCAGTAATAAATTTCAGAATTTGCGCTTTTTAGGAGCAAATTACTACAATTTTAATACGTTTTGGAGAAAAAATTGCAGTAAGCAATACAGTCTATTTTATAAACTGCTAATAAGCACTTTCCGATGTGACAGTCTACATAATATGCATTTTCGTCATAGCCCGAAAGAGCTAATTTTACGTGCCCGAGACAGTCTACATAATATGGCCCTTACAGTTCACTACTACCGTCTGATCACCATTATTCCAGAATCGATCAATATACCCCTAATATCAAATTATCTACTTATTGAGAAACACTGATGTAAAGGCATAAAATTGTATGGCTGTCGTAGTTATAATTATCGCAGTATCGTCATTCTATTGATTAAACTCGTTCCAATATAACACACTTAAATTACATGCGTTTATGAGCTTATAAAAAAAATCTTAAATAATTTTATGTTTTTAAAACAAATATATTTTATTTCTTTTCAGTGGTTGTATTTGATGCTCGTTAAATATAGCTGTTAACTGGCCTTATAATGGATGTTTATATATTTAAAGTAAAAATAGTTTAAGAGTACCATATACACATAATAAATATTCTGTAAATGATAAACCTTTGTTTTTTTTCATTAATTATTTTCAAACTGCCACAAAAATAAATCATTATTATTATTATTGTAAGGGGATGTGGCACTGTGACCATCGAGTCTATTGTGTCCCTTTGTAGGCCTAGAGTAGGTCTTTAAACCTTAATAAATCATACTACAAATTAATTTTTTTTTAAATTTATATTTATTTTAAATATTTAGAAATATTTATTAAACTAAAACACACTTCCACAATATATTTTTTTTATATTCATTAATTTTATTTTTTAATGTAACGCATTGAATAATAATAGCGTTTATTACCATATTATTATCAAATTAGATGATAATCCATTAATCGTTTTTAATTTAAATATACATGCATTTTTAAAGTTTTCATCCAAAAATTTAATTTAACATTTTGTTTTGCAAAAACAAATAATAAATATACTAAAATTACTTTTTCACGATATAATTTTGTGGTTTTGTATTTTTGTTTTTTTTTTTTTTTCATTTTTCAGTCAAATTTGATTATTGTGGATTTTTTAACTTCGTATTTATTTTTCTAATTATCAATTAATTCTTTTAGTAGGTATACCTTATGCTGCTTGGGCTGTATATATGTGTATTTTTTTTTATCAGTTATATTTATTAAATTAAACATATAAATAATAAAAAGTTTACTATAATAATAAAAGTATAAAATTTTAAATACAATATCATAAAGTAAAATCATTAAAATTATAGAGAATGTTTTGATTATAATCTTATCTACTACAAACGTAATATTTGAACATATATTATTTTACACATAATAGTAATGATACAATTATTTAAATTTTAATGAATTTAAATCAAATGTAATACTTATATAGTAATGAAGAATGGCAATCAATATTTAAATTCTAAATAAAACTCATTAAATCATATATGTATATTAAATTAAAGCTTGGATATATAGTATATAAATGTAGATATAAATAATTATGAGATTATAACGAAACGAGGGTGGATTTTGAACCTAATTTCTATGTCGTTTAAAATTTTTTAAAATAATTTACATTCCTACTTTTGTCTTTTCAATTTAAATAAAATCAAACTTCAGGTACATCACAACTTAAAATTTAATTAAAATATATAAAATAAATGCAATATCAAATTTGAAATACAATATATAAAATGGCAAGAAAAATTGAATTTTATTTAATACAAAATTATTTGCCTTTAATAAAAATTCATATTTGCTTAATGTTTTAATAAGCAAAAAATATCAAATTTAAATATCAACTAATATAAAAAATTTTTATATCAATAAATATAGTCAAATGTTTTTAAAATTTAAACTAGTAAAATATAAAATAATTCTCGATGGATATTTCAGCTTAGGTTTCATTAAGTGATTTGCTACAAACGAAAATTTAGGAAGATTTATTATTTTCTTTTTTTTTTGTTTTTGATATAAATCGCAATTAATGAGTTCAAATCTACGAAATTCAACAATTGAAATTAAAATAAATATATAAATAAATTCGTGTAATATCAAAATACTCTCAACTTATTTAATATTTATAATTCACTATAATTTGTCGCCGACTTCTTCACTTGATTCTTTCTTTGGACCACAGCACTGTGAGCGCGTTTATAGTGCAAACTCAAATGGATTTTGTGCTTACATACTTCACCGCACAAACCGCAATTTTTTGGTTGACTCCGATGTCTCCACATTCGATGCAAAGCCAGTGTACCTTTTGTGTGGTAGCTAAACATCATTGATTGCCACCGTTTCGTTTTGGTGCAGATAGCACAGCGAAGCTTCCGATTAACCATACGACTTAAGTATTTATCACGCAGCATTGATACGACCGCTTCTGGTGTAAGTCGTATCTTTTTTGGTTGAGCTTGTTTACGAGATGAGCGTTTATCATGCAAAGAAGAAGAAGAGGAGCTAGATGAGCTTGCTGCCAGATTGATGACAGCATCATTTTGTTCTTGAGGTTGAGGTGTTGGTTTTGGCGATGGCATCGATTTCTTGCTAAAATCCAGTGGTGTTGCTAGGTATTGTTGTTGGCTCGCTGCGTCAGCTAAAAGCGGTAGTAAGGTAGCAATTTGAGATAAGGATTTGCGTGGCGGTCGATTCCTTATTGAATTTGTGACTTGTTGTTTCTTTGGACTTTCTCTACGTTGTACTGGCATTTCCTGTTGATAACGTTTTAATGGTGATTTAGGTTTATTATTTGAACGCACACTTATGGAAGTTTCACTAATGGTTGTCAGAGCTGGTATTGGTTTTTCTAATGTTTGCGTTATTGTTGGTGAAGTACGCGGTTGTTTAGGTGTTATCGTGAGTGTAATATCTTCTTTATTTTTCAGGTATTCGATATATTCTTCAGTTTCACTTAATAGACGTTTCTTTTTTGGCGATTGTTCTTGACTTTGTTGTGGTGTTGTAGTAGGTGTTGGCATAGCTGGAAACATAAGTGGTATCTCAGCGTAATACTTATTTATGATATCCTTAACATAGTTCTGAAAATGTGTACCCAATTTGTTAAGGTTTTGATAATCCATTGTAGATAGAAAAGATGCAGTATTGGAATTTTCTTTATCATCTCTACTCAGCAGATCAAGGCGATGTTCACGATTGTGACTGTTGTTGCTATTATTATTGTTATTCGTAATATTGACGGCATTTTTGTGATTTGCTTTAGTTTTACTTTGGTTACTGAAATTAGTATTTACGGGATATTTATATGCGGGAGGCGATTTAATAAGCTGCACTTTATTTTCTTGATCTTCATCATTATCGATCGTTTGATAGTGTTTACGCTTATTTTGGCTGCTTGCTGATTCATTTGTTGTATGTATTGTTGTCTCTTGCAAATCAAAATTTTGACTTAAAAATGCCGACATCGCCTTTCTCTGCTCAGTTTTTATTGCAACATTATTTTTACGCTCTTGTTGTTGTCGTTTTACTGGTGATATATCGTCGTTGGACGTCGTCGATGAAGCGGACGATGGTGTATTTTCATCATCGATACCAGTGGAATGTTGTCGTTGACGCATACCATTCTGCGGTTGATAACCATGGATGCCACCATATTTTGAACGCTGTTGTTGTTGGTGTTGCTGTGGTTGAATCGCATAGCTGATGTTATTCGTATAGCTAAGGCTTTGTAATAGCGCAGCAGCTTCTTTTGTCGTCAATTGCGAAGGCAGTTTATTATTAAACAGGAGTTGATGATTAACTGGAATTTTCAACTCTTGCACGCCCCCCGCTTTATGAAAATCCTGAGCGACTGAAGCTGTATTACGACTAATGGCATCCATTTTTAAAAGACTGTTGAAAGAGAAAAAAATATTAATTTTAAATGTTTGAAAAAAAAACTGTATATATATGTTATAAAATATACTAAACATATTATGACTTAAAAAAAAAAATTTTAAAATAATAAGTATAAATAACTTTGTCAATGTTTAAAATAATAATAATAAAATAATTACATTAAATCAATAATAATAATAAAATAAAATAATAAAACTATTATATTAATAAAATAATAATAATAAAATAAAATAATAATAAAATAAAATAATAAAACTATTATATTAATAAAATAATAATAATAAAATAAAATAATAATAAAATAAAATAATAATAAAATAAAATAATAATAGAAATAAAATAATTATTATTAGGAATAAGGGAGGTAAGCTTAGTTCATGCGGGTCTCCGGCCTCACTTTCCGGGGCGCCGGATTGTGGTCAGTGAGTAGATAATTCCCTCTACCCCGCCACACAAAAAAATAAAATAAAATAATATTCATAAAAAAGTAATAATAATAAAATAATTATATAAGTAACATAATAATGATAAAATAATAATTATATAAATAACATAATAATGGTAAAATGGTAATAATAATAAAAACTACAAATACAATAAAAACGACATAATATAGTGAGAATAATGATATAAACAAAATACTAGGAACAAAAATACTAGCCGAAGGACCTTGCTGTTTTTTATATAGCAATAGGAATGAACACAATTGGGAAGAAAATCAAAAAGAATAAAAATATTAATTAGTTAATATTAACATTAATTACTATATAATGTTATTACCAACTAATTAATAAATGACAAAAGAACAAAAAGAACAATCATAAACAAAATAAAATTAATAAAATTTTTTTTAAGAAATTATTATCAATTTTATTGTAGGTACCGCGCATAGTCTTCTGGATCACTTCCGTCGGCCTCAAGATATTGAAATAAACGTTCGGAACCCCGTTTTTGTGCGGCTGCATTTGGCAGACCGCTTGTTAGTAAGTCGTGTGGTGGTATTAAAGACCCGTTGGCACTCAAACGCCAACCTACCATTGAAGTTGGATTTACAATAATTTCCTGTAGTGGACCACCTGTTATATTGCCGTTACCATTATCATTTGTTGTAGTTGTTGTATAAATAGTAACAGAGCCGCCAGCATTGCCAACAGCATTAGTAGTTGTAGTCGTAGTGTTTCCAACACTATATTAATTTTCCAAATGATAAGTAGCAAAACAAGAAGCGTATATTTTATTTAATATTTTTTATCTAAATAATATTTCAATTTTCTTTATAAATATTTACCTAAAAGTTGTACTAGAATTCTGAAACGTATTTATTTGATTTTCTGTAACTAAGGTGTTGCCAATTGTACGTAATACATTTATATTGGCTGTAGAACTATTGTTAGTATTATTATTCGTATTATTACGTGAAGGTCTACTATCATGTGGACTGGTTTGCATTATAGAAAGAGTAGATAGTTTATAAATATAATTGTTAATACTTAAAATTTTTAATTACTAATATAATTACATTATTCGATTTATATCTAACATAAACTTTAATACATATTATTTAAATTGATAGATTTAATTGTGTTTACAGAAGCATCGATTATAAATTTTTAACTGGTTTAAATAAACTTATTTACTTATAAAAATACCCAAATAACCCATATGAGAGTTTTGAAAGAAGGCACCTAAATGAATTACAAAACATACACTTGCGATGGTGTGGGAAGGAAAGAGAAATTAAAAGAATATGTGAAAGATGTAGTGAGAGAAGAGACAGATATAGGTAGAGTATTAAATATCAGCCTTAAAGAAGGCATCTGCATGAATTAGAAAATTGTGCAGTCGAGATGACGTGAGAAGAAAGAGAAGTTAGAAGAGTATGTAGAAAATAATGTGGGCAGAGATTACTAAATCTCATATTAAATACATAGACTAATAGCAATACGAAAGAAAATGACATAAGGGACTAATAGCTGTTGAGACCTATGATTCCAAAAGAATAAATGAAATTCAGAATATATTCCGTCTCGAAAATATTTAGGGCTTTAAAGTATACTTCTATATTCATCTCAATAAATTATCAGAATTCAACGGAGCTCTTATTACAGTGGATCATCCAAGTGGCCACATACACCATTGAGTAAAAGTGCTTTAGACAGTCACTTAAGTGCTCGTGAATATTTTTTCCAATTTAAAAATTATAACTTCTGGTACAGTAAATACAATTAATTATCTGGGTATTCTATGCGTATTATCTAACTATTATAGTAATAATAATATATTTAGGTTAAAAAAATAACTTTACTTACTGTACTTCATTGACATGGGCCTGAAACTCTTCCTGAGTATCAGCTAAAAAGGAACACTTGTTGCACGCACGCTTATTGTGTACCTTTAATACGTGCGTTGCTAAACGTTCGGAACGTGCTGCTTTATAATCACATAGCAGGCAAACAAAGGGTTTTGTGTGAGTATTCAAATGTCGTTTTAGACCCCACTTATCAGCGCCGGTCCACGGACAATAACAGCAGGTGAAACGTTTCTCTCGTTTTGGTTTAACCAAACCACCACTGGCCATTGTGCCATCATCATTCTTTTCTTGTTTTAATTGTGGTAATGGTGCATCTGTTGCTGTAGCAACAGCTTCAATGGTCTCAGCAATACTAAGACTGGACGAAGTGGGTTGGCGTTGACCTTCAAGGAAAGCATTATCAATTTGCACATTTGTTGTTTGAAACAAATTTGGCTTCTGTTCTGTTTTAATTGTTGTTATTGTTACATTGCCACGTCCACCGGCATGATGATTTGAATTTGGTACATGCCGGCGGGTCTTATTGATGTCATACTGCATTTCACGATGCATACGTAAGAAGTGCTTCTTGACATGATCAGCACGATTGAATTGCTTAAGACAGGCGTAGCACTGAAACGGTTTCTCATCTTTATGAATGTTTTCGTGACGAGTGTATAGATCTCGTCGATCGGTGGAATATGGACAATGAGTGCAGGCGTATCTTTTTTGTACTTGTATGCCATTGTTATTGACGTTAACGTTTTGTGAATTTTGTGACTTTTTACGATTGTTGCTCGTACTTCCTCCCGCATTTGTACCACCAATATTATTGGCTGCATTGCTGATATTCGTTGATGTGTTGGCTGTTTGATTTTGATTGGTAACAACATTTACGATATTCGCTGATGGAGAAGTGCTTGTGTAGATAACCTCTGCGGTGGCGTTGACTGTGGTGGCATGATCATTACGATTTTTTCTACAATACAACAAATAAAAGGGAAATAATTTTAATAAAGTTCAAATGTAAAATATTTTGAAAGTATTGTATAAAATAACAATTCCTCTTTGAAGTACAATACAAAGATTGGATTTGTTCTTATGGTACATGCATGCAGTGCCTTCGAATAAACGACTCTTTATACAAACTTTGTATCATTCGTGGTAACAACAAGATACAGTGCTACCTTTGAATGTTAGAATTTCTGCTACTAACTGTTAGTTGCAAAACTTTCTATTTTTGTATATTCACGTGTCTATATTTGCGGTTTGAGAGCAGCAGGCAGATGTTTTAAGTTCGTTATAAGACAAAGTGCAATTTGTACTGACAGTAGGAAATTTCATTGCATGTTTACTTACTTTGACTTTGGTGTTGTCGTTATTTGTTGTTGTTGTTGCTGATGCTGTTGTTGTTGCTGCTGCTGTTGTTGTTGTTGTTGCTGCTGCTGTTGATGTTGTGTTGTTGTGAAACTTTGTAATTTTCCACCTGTAGTCCATTGTACAATTTGTGGTTGTTGCTGTTGTTGTTGTTCAGTACCAGCTGTTGTGCCATCAGTACTCCAACGCTGATGTTGATCGCCACCAGTTACAACAGTAACACTGGTATTCTGTTGTTGTTGCTGTTGTCCAGTAGCATTTGTAACAACTTTATTTATAGCCTGCGTACTCAAAATGGTACCAGTCGTGGCGAAACCATTTTGCATAAGCGCAGCCAAACCAAAAGCGGTGCTCAAATGATCTTCTGATTTGAAATTACCGCCTGTAGTGGCTACAACAACTGAACCTTCGGGTTGTTGTTGTATTACAACGTTACCCGTTTGTTGAGCAGCAGCTGCCACTACTGAAGTCGCTGCGGCAGCATTATGCTCGTATTCAATTGTTGGCGCCGAGGAACGATCGATTTGCTGTTTATTAAAAAACAAAAGAAAATAAATTTAAATAAAATAAAATAATTATAAATAAAGTCAAAGAAATACAATGCAATCATAGAGGGAATAATTTGAGAGGAAGAACTTTAATGCAAAAATGTGTTTCATTAACTTACCAAATTCGTAAATGAACGTTCTCCTTCGGGCGCTGTGGGCCCAGTAGTTGCCACCTGCGCAACCGGTGTGCCCAATGTATGCAAACCATTTCCGGTCTCTTCTCCATATAATTTTCTTGTGATTTCCTTAAACATATCTTCATATGCGGCCTCAACATTTGAGGACGGTATTAATGTTGCCATGGCTTAAAAAATACTCTTGCAATGTTGCTATAAATACGAACCGGTACAAACTGTAAAAAAAGAGAGAAAATAAATAAATAAACTGAAAACAAACTGAATTATTTTATTAAAACGCGAATGTAAGCACTTTTTAATTTTATTTATTTTTGTTTCATTTTTATTTTTTTAATTTTTGCGCTGTTCGGAGCGGAGCCGGGAGCCGGGAGCGGTGGGGATCGTCGATCGTGCGGCATTGTGGAAGTGGCTAGCGACAGCTGAAACTATCAGTAGACATTTCGAGGAATCTGTTGACACATGACACTTTGTTTATTTTAGTTAACGAGGATGAGTCCGAAGCGGAGCGGTGGGTGGATGGTTAAACCTACGTTTGTCTTTTGACTGCATAACATGACATTAAGAAAGTCATGCACAAATACTTAAGTTTTTTATACGTTTTTGGTGGGAACATATAAGAAGCACAGCAATTTAATCGTTTCGCTTGCAATTTTAATAAAAATAAATAAAACTTTAAAAGGTTTTGAAAAACAAAATTACGCATTTAGAAAACAAACTATAGCAAATATGCCATTAGTTATCAATCGGCCGATGTTGGTTTTAGATAACTAATATTACCCAATTGTGCCTTTTTTCTATAGTCAGCTTTGAGGTGTATAGGGTATCTCAGGAACAACCTTTTCTACGATTCTACGATTAATTAAAATTCGGAAATCTGGTCTGACTACGGGATCACTAGAATAAAAAGAAAACATCTACGACTTTGTCTGTGACATATAAAAGAGGTTTTTGGAATCAATAACTTTGTTTATGACGTATACAAGTGGTTTCTAAGACATCCATAATAATAAAAAAAGAGGTTAGTTACGGCTTGTTTGTGTGATATATAAGAGATTTTTGGAGGTCAACCTCCCTCTAACATATATCGAATCATTTTAAACTAGATATAATAGACTTGTTTAAGTGTCTGAAACAATAATACTGCCAGCAAGAAGTATTAATTAAGCTCCCGTCACTAATATTCATAATACTGACATTTTGAAAAGTCGAAATCTTTAAATACCTAGAGGTAAATCTAAGCATTACAACAAAACTATTAACAGGACATATTTTGCACAACTATATATTATATTGTATGAATGTACATATTTCGTTTTTATTATCAAGCATTCACGACAACAGTTCAGTAATAGTCGAAGTTATCTTGGATAACCTGATAAATCATTTAATAAGTTAATATCAATGACAAACTGGCCAAGAAACAAACTAGTCAGCTGCTTCAACTAAACTAACAGGTCACTGTTTACTAGGAACACATGTTATAAGACTGGGTCTACCGTATAATGACTTTTGTTCGTAATCGTTGGCTACAAGAAGTTTCGAGAAGTTCAGACCCTTTCTTTTATTGACCTGACATGGCTGTCATCCTGCAAAATTACAGATTTAGCTACATTTAGAGATTTTTCAGATTTTATTATTGTATATTTTACCAAAAATTTAACAATAAGTATTTTAATAAGTATTTATAAGTATAATAAGTATTTAAACTTGAATAAGAGTATTGTGCCTTTTAGCGTTGTCAATATGCCACGGGTCTTTTTAGTCTGCGTATGAACAACACTAATATGTGATATCAAATGGGATTACACGGTCGAAAATTTTCGTTTAAATTTAAAACTCAAAGGGTTTTTATATTTATCCAAACTTAAATGAGTTTATAATTTAAACCATTCAGTTTAATAGAATCTTAATGATTTTAAAATAAAACTTGCGGGTTATGTTATCAACTCAAGCAGTTTATTTTCTGCGATTTAAACTTTATATATTTCTTATATATTCAACTTCTAGAGTTTATTTTATATATTACCAATTATAAACTTTAGTAGGTTTAAAAAGTCAACCTCAGAGTTTGAAAATATTGATTTAAACCCTAAAACAGTTTACAGGGTTGAGAATTTAAACTGAAATTTTCGACCGTGTACTCATCATTATCATCTACATGTATACAGTCCATGTAGGACCTAAGCTTGTTTTACGACATTCCTACATTCAGTGAATAATGTAGAGTTTTTAAATTAAATTGGTCAAATTTTACAGATTTTTCACTATTTATAGTGGGTATATTTAACATTTATTGTATAAGTATTTATATTATATATATAGAGATATATGTATATAAACATAAAATACTTCTCGGAAATATAAACGTAGTCTTGGGTAGCACACCCAAAAACGTGTACAATAAGCTAAAAGCTACTAAGACAAATAGTTATGCTCATCTGTAAATTGATTTTCCTTTTTTTTTTTGTTTCTTTTTCAGTTTTTTTTTGTTTTGTTTTTATGAATGTTTATGAACCTTTGTACCTAAAACGACACCGACACCACAACAAATTCAAGGTTTTCTTACTTATCTATGCAGCTAAAGCAAATCAACCCATCCATAAGCTGTCGCCCAAAGATAAATGTCTCAACTTGAATGGAAGCGAAAACTCGGTTGACTTGCCTGCCTGTTGCTCGTACGTATTCCACCAGCCGTGATTGTAACACTTTTTTGTTTTGTTTTCTTATTCGCTTCGAGACTGACTACACCACGCTGCGGTTGGGTGTAGTTGGAGACTAAAGTGGGTGGATGTTCACACAGTTATACATACATACACTCGTATATATTTGTACGTGTCGTTAGTGATATCACATAAAGTATCGTGCAATATTTTACATACAAAAGTCGCGAAAAGTAAACAAAAAAAAAATAAAACAATTTTTGCGGCATAAAAACAGATGATTTGCTTTTGATGCCATGTTGTTCTTAAGAGTTATACGAGTATAGCCTCCTCACTGGTTTGTCTCGTCACTGAAGTCACAGCAAACGGCAGTCTGCTTTCTGCTTTGGGTTTGTCTGTTTTTTAATGCAACACGTTGCTCCCTCACTGCCAGCGAAGGCAGCGTTGGCAGCGATGGGTGTAAATATTGTTTCATGGTATGTTCTCAATAAAGTGGGAAAGTTGCTGTCCGCTTTTTGTTGTCCCATTTTAAATATTTTTGTTACGTTACAGCAAAGCATATCTCTATATGGAGGCGTTTGGTCGGTCTTTCATTGCATGACACAGGCACACACGCATACACGCATATATACTTTAATTTCCGATTTGTTTGCATTTCTTTAAGGTGTCTCACCCATGTTCAATGCTTTGATCTTTGCTTTTTTTTCGTTTTTGATATAAGACAAGTTTAAATAATTATTTTACTTTTTATTTACTTCGATTCACTTTGATTTCGCCATATAAGCTTTTTATGATTATTGTCTTCTTCTTCTTCTTCCAACATTGCTTCATTCTTAATTTTATTGAACTTTGTTATAAAGCTCAATATGTATTTCTGTTGAAACACAATCTTTGTAGTTTCTATAAAAATATGTTATTTTATCGTTTGTTTTATATTTCTGACTTTAATTTTAGTCAAAAACAATCCATATGGCTTTGTATTTACTCATAAAGTAAAAGTATTCAACTATAGGATTAATTTCAGTTTAGATAGATAGGTCAGATAGGTCTGCTTCTCTTCTCTTCTCTTTGAAAATGTCGTTCGCTTTGTAGATCACATGGTTCTGCTTATTTAAACCCTTATGGGTGTGATGTACGGCACTTGATTGTCAAACTAGAAGTTTGGATCTGGAACGTAGACTCGACTGTTCTATTAAGTATTATTTAAAAATTAACACTTTTAGTTTAAATTGACCCGCTGTGACCCGCGATATCATCCAAGTTGGCAGTGACAGGTCGTTAAAAAGGAGACCCAAAAATTTTGAATTTTATCCTAGCCTATGATGGATACTGACACATGAGGTGAAGTACAGTATCCTTTTCATCCGCACAGTCACAATCTCATCCGCAATCATTATAGGGTATACTTAATATCATAGCATATCTTCTTTGTCAGTTTGGTAAGAGAAGTGACTCCAAAGAATTTGAATCTTCTGCTAGTCAGTGATCAATACTGACACCCAAGGCAAAGTATAGTTTGGTTCTAATCCTTAGAGTTACAATACTCTCAGCACCGATATCGTAGCATTGATCAGGCTACGCTTCAGTTAAAGCAGCTGACTGGTACGTTTCTAGTCCAGTTTGGAGCAAGTCCATCTTCATATCTGAAGAATTTTTTTTTTGCTATACATATATACCGCTATTTTTCTTTAATAAGAAATATATAAATATATATGTATTAATTTCTGAGTTCTTTATCTCAAAAACTAAAAGTGGGAGTAGATAACAAAATTGCAAGACAGATAATAGAACAAGATAGTATTTTAGGTACCTCTGAAAGATCTGGGTATATCACTTGCATTATGAAAATAAATGTTGAAATATTTATGTATTTACAATAAATATCTTATTTATATGGTTTGTAAAAATATCTATCTTATAGTTTTCTTAAATAATTGTGTTAACAAATACAAAATTCTTAGAAAATGTTAAAAACTATTTTATTTGTCTTGCTGACTTAGGATGTGCCATTCAAATCTGTGAAATGGAGCCATATTCTGCATTAAGTTCAGGCTAAAGAGCTGGTTCATCTCTACAGTTATGGTAAGGTATCCTTCTCCAGTAGCACAGCGTTGAGGTTGCTGGTGAAATATTTAACGGGTCACCATAGACTGTGTTATCACCTTAACAAAATCAGTCTATACGAAGAGATAGATTGTCGACTCTGCTTAGAAGCAGACGAGACTTTCAATCACATTCTCTGTGACTGCCCAGCCTTAATCTGGGCCAGTAGGAGGTCACTGGGTCGAGAATCACTCTCCCCTTCTGACATAAGCAGGTCCTCAACGGTCGATATTCTGGCTTCCATTCGGAAAGCGGAATGTCTTCTGTTCGGACAAAAGAACAACCATGGTCGCAGTGTATTTCTATTCCTATTACATTTGTCTTATTATAAGAAACCTATTCTGTATAGAAAAGTTTGATAATAGTGAGGAAATTTTTAAATCCAAAAGAAATTTATTTAATTATGCAAATTCTTGAACTGATCGTACAGATGTTTTTGACTTCGTTAAATA